GTCCTTATAAGTGTCTATCAGGACACAGCTCTACATACAAAATAACCAACAATTGGTTACAGTACAAAGGCACATCTACGCTGAGCACATCTTGAGATGCTGAGATACACTCTGACAAAGCAGAAGTGGGTTTGCAGAAGGTATGACAGTAGAGGTTGTTTGTTTAATCAGAAATGCCCTCCTGTGCCAGAGCACGCAGTTCTTGGTATTCCTTTATCTACAGCACATAGAACACAGATGTGGATTTCAGCACGTTTTGTAACAGAGCACACGCCAAGACAATTAAGTAAGAATGTCAGACTCTGCAGTACGCCCCTGGTTGTGCTCCATCTGTTTCAGAGAGCTTTAGTTCACCAGACCGCCCTGGGCTACGAGTGCTGACCACGCATGCTCTGCATCTGCAGAACACCATAAACACGGGAAAGAAAAGAGCAGCTGGGCTGCATAGCAAACATGGACACAAGGAGAGGCGTGTCAGGCAGGCAGTGGGCACACTCATTTCTGACTCTGTCAGATCCAGTCATCCTGCACTGCAGGAGCTCACAGAGTAAGTGTTGCAAGTCAAGCTTAGCCAGCAGACGCTTTTTACTGAACATATGGGTTACTGAACTGCAAAGCTGAACCACGGATAGAAGTATTTTAATGACTGCATTGCTCAATTATGTAAATGACTTTAAGCCTTCAATAGACAGGACAATATACTTAGTCCCTTGACGTATATATAGTTACAGATCTCCAATTACAAAACTTAAGAGCCTTTAAAATTTGGGAAGCCTTGTTTAATGAGAGCAGCTGCACCACTACTACTGTAACTAGACTCACCACAAGAACCAATAATCAGCAACATGTAAGTGAAGGATGTGAACACAGAGCATGCTTTAACCCGCCTGGCAATATGCTGACACCTAAACCAGTGCCATTTTCTTCCTGCAACTTTCAATTCTCAGCATGGCATTTACATGGCACATAGCAACTACGTGACAGAAGTTAGAGCTGGTGCACGTCAGTGGAACTAAGCCAAGATGATCCTCTCTAAAGCACACTTCAGCTGACAAAACAACCTGAATTGTCCCGTGGCCACACAGCTTGGGGCCTCTCTGAAAAGCTGAGGATGGGGGAAGGGTGAAAGGATGGCTCCTCCCAGCAACATGCCAGTTAGATGCTTAAGGATAGCATCAAGTGTCAAGGATAATCGGCACATGATGACTGACTCTTCAGTTCTGTGGGAAGACAGCTATTTCAATGCCCCTCTCCATCTCACTCACCGTGACACCTTCTCCTCTCCCCCACAGGTGCAGCTGCAATTTATGTGTCTTTACAATGGAAGCACATTCCGGGTCCAACAGCACTCAACATTCTTCAGGCTTCAGCTGGAAGCATCCAACCACAACAAGAGAAGGCTACAAACAGCTGAAAGAACTCTCCCACAAAGGGCCATTCTGACTTGAAGGCCAGGCTGCATTACAGCTATTACTTCCACACACCACATCAGCAGTACTGTTACACTCAATTCCATCGATGAACAATGGCTTTTTTCAAGCAACGCATTTGACAGTGTTTTGATTAGCAAACAAGAACAAAAGTTTTTTTGCACCTGTTTTTAGTAAAAACCTTTATAATTCAAGAGCAAGATATAATCCAGGCTTACAAAACATACACGCTTACATGGAAACTGTAAGGAAACAAACAGTTCTAATGCACAAAGCAGCAAAAACTGAAAGACTAATGCTACTCCCCATCTCCAGGTCAGCTCCCATGTGCCCCAGACAATCTTCATCCAGCTTCATGTAGCTGCAGCTATAGCCTAGTTCCACAGCTATGGAACGCTTGCTGAAAGTTTTATTCATGCACCCTTGTTCTTTGCAAGGCTCTAAGATGGGAGTGGGGAATAGGTATAGGTAGAAAAAAAAAAGCAGCTACAAATACCTCAGAAAAATACTTTCTCCTGCAGACTGCTACAGCTCACCCTTCCAATAGCTGAGACTTTCAAACAACCTTTCTGGAAGGAAAACATGCTTAAATACAGGGGTAGAGTGAGCACCGCAAAGCAACACAGATGGGGCAACTTCCATTTTTACGTGAGGAGGGGGGAAAAGTTAACAGATTACAACAGGCAGTCTGCTTTAACAGATTGCAAGAACAAAATGGCCATCTCCTTTTTATTTAGGATGCACAACATCTTTGCTTGGCACAAGAAAATAGTCTGATCTCATCCATACCAGGCTGTGACTGACAAGTACTCAGTGTGTTTACTACTAAATACACTGTCAAATACACTGTCTCAGCAACTGATGTGTACACAATTGCTCAGACCCTATAAATGAGAAGAACGAGCGATCAAAGCAGATTAGTCAGGCACGGGCTATGAGATAACAAGACAACCAGCCACAAATTTAAAAATTCTCACCATTAGAGACTGAGTACTTGAAAAGTTTTCTGAGACTCCGAAACAAATTACCACCTTTTTCTTGGCTTCTTGGAAGTGCAAAGAAGGAAAAAAAGAAGGAAAAATGTTGCAGTAATCCGTCTTAAAACTGTTGCAATAGCCAGAGTGGAATTACTAACAACCTATACTTACTTTAAACAGCACTCCATAAACCTTAAAATGAAAAGGTATTCTAATTATGTGCTTCAAGTCTTCCGCTTCTCAACAGAAAAGAAGATACACAACCAGTACAATGTATTTCACAAGTCTGCATGCTGAAGTATTTAAAGAAAGAAAGCAAAATTGTTCATTAAAGCAAAGTTTTGCCAAAGAACGCAAAGCAACGAGTTTTAACCACTCCCTGCTGATGACTATTCAAGCCAATTCGCATGCAATTAAGAATTCTAATTCTCTACTACCTCCATTCCCTAGTTCCTTCAAGCTTTAACCAAATTATTTTAAGCTGATGAACTCCAAATTACAAGTTCTCAGACTGAATCAGAAGTCAGTTTGCTTGGGAAGTGCACGCCAGGACAAGTCCTCTTGCATGAAAATTCAGAGGGCACTGCAACACACCTACAAATGCATACTTTGCTGGCTTTTTTTTTTTTTTACTTTGAAAAAGAGAAGGTCGGTCAGAAAAGAAGGACTGCGTTGCAGCTAGACCAACTGTTGCTCCACTAGTGAAGACAACAGATCTTCCTGAAAGAGGATAATAGAGCTTTTTGGACTTACTATGGACAGCACAGAATCTGCACGGCTCTCATGTACAAAAGAAAGACATCAAACAAAAATGGAACTGATATGGTAAATAGGAAAAAGCCTCAGATCATAGTACCTACGTACTGGTTAAAAGTACTTTCATCTTCCTTACAGGCTTTATTGAAAAGGTAGCATACATCTAACCAACTGGTGATGCACTAGTCAGAGAAATAGCCACTGGAATAGTCTGGAAAGTTATCAGGAAGCAAAACAAATCAAGAAGAGGAAGACGGTATAATGGATATTGAGAAAAAGAGGGCAAGGAGGACAGTCTGAAGACTACTTGATTAAAAACATCTTATGTTGTACCATGTCTATCTCCATGCTACCTCTCACCTTCCCTTTCTATGTGAATTTTACTTTATTAAGTTAAACAACAGTTTCCAAGCTATGCAAGTGTTCTCCTGGATGCACTGAACTTCCTACCCAGGAATCCGAGCACTGGCAAGGTTTAAGTCCCACGGCTGGGAAACAAGAACATAAGAAGGTGAAGAGGATTCATAAATAGTATCAAAGACTCCCTTTTTAGCAAAAAAATAATGAGCACACAGAAGTGAGTCAGCAACAGCAAGCAGAAAACCAAACTGAGTAATGCACTGTCCTTTATTGCAATAGAACTGTGCACTGGAGCAGCTATCACCTTAAATGCCTGTGATATTGGTCAGACCCACAGAGGACTTAATCCTCAAAACACAGGCACACTGGTTAGTAGCTAATTTCAAAGGAGAGGGAAGGAGAGGGGAAACCAGCACAAGCAACTGAACAACAACCTTGTGATTGGAAATAGAGGTGCCCAGCACTATCAATATTTCCTTTCCAGCCAATGCAGTTTAAAACGTGGTTAAAAACAAAATTCTCTGGTTGGTGTTTCTATATAACCAAGCAGGAACTGGTTCAACAGCTAGTTTGACTTGCAGAAAGCACGGGCACGCATCTTCCCTCTACTGCCCACGGGAAGACCACACGGGCAGAGTGGCAGCAATTCTTCCCACAGCCAACATCATCCTTTTCCAGCCCCGAGACACACGGCTCTGTTTAGCCATTCCGGCCATCTGACAGGTCTCACGGAGGGCGGCAGGACAGGAGAAGGATGAGGGACTGTTACTTGTGTAGGTTGCCACAGCATACAAGCGTACTTTGCCCGGGAAGACATCTGACAGCACGTCAAGTCTCGAGCTGAAATGACACCAGGCAGCTTCAGGGAGCCGTTCGTCACCAACAAACTGAGGAAATCCTGTTTATCGGCCCCTGCTCCAGGTCACGACTCCTGCCGGCGCTCACCCCGGCACTGTGTGTGCAGGACCGGCTCATCAGCCCGGCAACAAGTCACGGCGCAGCACAATCTTCGCTCGAGCGACGCGGCAAGCACCGGGCCAGCTCCGACAGAGCCGCCACACGCCGCCGCCAGTTACCAACCCGCCTCACGGCTTCACTCGCACGCACCTACGAGCGGCGCTCCCCACGCACCGCGGCGGCCGACCGCTCCCGGCCCGAGGGGCGGCCCGCACCCGCCGCAAGGAGCTCCGGGGCCCTGCGCGCCGCCGCCGCCAGCTGCGCGCCACTCCCTCCGCCTCGCTCCGCCAAGGGCCGCGGACGGAAGCGGCGCTCCGCGCTGCCGCACGCGGGGGGGGTTCGGCGCGGCCGCTCCGAGCCGGCGGAAGACGCGGCGCCGCGGCGGCCCCGCGCGGCTCCCGGCCGCCCCCGCCCCACCACGGCGGCAGCCCGGGGGCCGACGAGGTCCGCCCCCCTCCGCGGGAAGCCCCGGAACGGGACGGGACGGACGCACGCGGCGCCGCCCGCTCCCGGCACTCACACGACGGCCCGCGAGATCATCCAGGACACCATCGCGGCGGCCGCGGCGGCGGCGCGTCCCCTCGGCGAGCCGGGCCCGAATGGCCGCGCGCAGCGCCGCCCCTCCCCTCGCGCCACTCCCCTCCGCTCCCCTCCCGCCGCCGGAGCCCGGCGGCACCGCGCACGCGCACCGTGCCGGCCGAGGCCGGGCGCCGAGGTGTTTCCCGCGGCCCGCCCTCGGCCCGGGGGCAGCGCTGAGGGGCGCGGTGACGGCCCGCCGCTCCGCCTGCCGCTGCCCTCCTGCCCCCTGTAGGGGCCGGGCTGCCCGCGGCCCCCGAGGTTGGTGCGGTAACGCGCCGTGCGCCGGCGTCAGTCGCTGTGAGCGCGGCCGTAAAGCGCCGCCTGATTTTAGACCGAAAATCGAAGACGCCCTTTGCTCAACGGTCGTCGTGCTGATGCACGAGGAGATAGGAGCAGGTACAATTTAATTTGATCGGGGAGGAACGCAACACGGCGCCTTTCTCCCCTTCTCATCTCTTCCCTTGGGACCGCTCGAGCTGCACAGCCGTAGCCGCGCGCTCCCTCGGGTTCCCTCGCTGTGCCCCGGTCAGGGTGCAGCGCCTCGGGCTGAGCCCTGCGCACACACGGCACGGCTGTGCGTGCCGGCATCCGGCCGAGCCGCGTCGTGAGCCTGCCTGCTTCCGCGGCTCTGTCCTCAACAACAGCGTAGAAATGCTCAGTGCCAAAGGCTGCGTAAGGACGCGTCCTCATACGGGTCGCACAGGCTGCTGCCTGCAGCTCATCCAAAGCTGGTGATGGCACAGGTGACTGGGAGGACGGGAGACACGTCTGCAGCTCGAAAAGTAAATGGTATCCCGGGTTCCATCAGAAGAGGGGTGGCCAACAGGGACAGGGAGGTGATTGTTCCCCTCTACTCTGCTTTTGTGAGGCCCCATCTGGAGTACTGTGTCCAGCTCTGCAGCCCCCAGTACAAGAAAGACACAAAGCTGTTGGAGAGGGTCCAGAGGAGAGCCACGAAGATGATCAGGGGGCTGGAGCACCTCCCCTATGAAGACAGGCTGAGGGAGCTGGGCTTGTTCAGCCTGGAGAAAAGAAGGCTGTGGGGTGACCTCATTGCAGCTTTTCAGTACCTAAAGGGAGCCTACAAACAGGAGGGGAATCAACTCTTTGAAAGGGTAGATAACTGCAGGACAAGGGGAAATGGTTTTAAGTTGAGGGAGGGGAGCTTTAGGTTGGATGTCAGGAGGAAATTCTTTACAGAGAGAGTGGTGAGGTACTGGAACAGGCTGCCCAGAGAGGTTGTGGATGCCCGTCCCTGGAGGTGTTCAAGGCCAGACTGGATGGGGCCCTGGGCAGCTTGGTGTAGTATTAAACAGGGAGGTTGGTGGCCCTGCATGTGGCAGGGGGGTTGGAGATTCGTGATCCTTGAGGTCTCTTCCAACCCTGGCCATTCTGTGATTCTGTCTGGGAAGGACTGCTGTCTGTGTGCCCAGTTCTTTCCCTTGTCACCGTGGCTGTCTGAGGCAGGATGCCTGGCAGGACAGTTGTCAGCCCAGAAACCTTGATGAGCTTGTGGGCTAGCAGGTCTCACCTGCCAGGAACATGTGGGTGAAGCTGGGTGCTTCATGGTACGTTAGCTCTATAAAACGTCTGCAGTGATAATACAGTTTTCTTACCATATAGGGAGTAGGAATGGCTTACTCTCCATACACTGTTGGCTTATTCAGATCAAAGGTCCCAGGTCCCTGCAAGATGCTTTCTGTTCCATGGGCACATGCTACAATTCCTCAAGTGCTCACACCAACGAAGTCTAAACAAAGGCATTTTCACTCCTCTGCAGCCATCAAACACAATGGCTGAAAGTGTTTTATGAAAGGAAGAAGTGGAGAAATACACAGAATGTTTCAACAATTACAGTGTTTGTAAACTTTTGCTATAGTTGTAGACTGTGACATTTTAAGCTTGAAATAGAAGAGTGTACAATGATGTAAAAACAAATTTTACTCTTTCTGTGCAGGTGTTGAGGTCTTGAAAATAATGATGTTGGCCACATGGGGTGTCTCCTTACCTTGACCTCTACAGAGGGGACCAGGTGCAGAAAATGGTAGAGAGGAATTTGTGGGAAAATTAGAGTATACCACTCAATAATCTTATTTTAAAAACAAGCCTGAATGTATTCTTTATTGCATTCAGTGAAAGCAGAAATCTGAACCACTGTATTTCCCTTGAATAAAATCCTCTCTGGTGTTAGGCTGTATAAAGCAACCTTGAACAGCAAAGGATTTGAAATATGAATTAGCTCAGAGAGATTACATTTTAGACTCCAGTTCTGTAAACCTTCCTGCAGAGGCGGATCCTGCTGCCTGCTTAACGCTCCACTGGAGTCTGTAGCATTCCAAACCATCTAGAGCAAACTGAGATGAGAGCTCTAGTTTGTATTCTATTAAAGAAGTATATAGTAGATTTCTTTTCTATATGCAATTACGTGTTCAGTCATCTCAGAGAACCTTTCTAGGAAGAGAGGGATACTCTTTCTTATGTCCAAGAGAAGTGTATACATCAATTCCATAGCTGCGTATTTTATTTTGTATAAAGTATGTTTGAGAGAAAACCACCCTTTATTTTGTGTGAAGACATTTATTTTTCTTGTGTTTGTTGCCATGGCAATACTGTCTCTGGTGGAAAGCTGCATTTACATTTAAAGAGGCCTTTTTTTTTTTTAAGATAAAGGCAGATGGATGGAAGAGTAATTTATCTTACTAAGAAGGTTGCTTTGTTTAGAACATTTTGAGACTGAATTTGGTGCAACAAACTCGATGAATGTTGGCCTGATCCCCAGCAAACAGGCATGAGGATGCCACATGGACTTCCTTGTTTTCTAGCTTGTATGGAATGATAATCCATTCCCCTGAGTTGCAGAAACACAGGGAGTGGTGCAGCAATTAAATCCATACCATGTACTTATTCAGACCTGGGATGTCTCACCCGTACGTCTATTTTTATGTAAGGAAAACTTACAGCTATCTCGTTATAGGATATTTTTAAGTCCTGCACAAAAGCCACTTAATATATCTAGAAGTCACTTCAAACAGTTTTAACGGTATTAAGGAAATCTCTGGTGAAGATCAGCAGCACTCCATTTTCTTCAAACTACTTTTGTGTAATACAATGTATGCATACAAACATAAATGTTTAACTTTCTGCTCCTTTATAGGCAAATAAACATTTTTTCCTATGATGCAGCTGTGAAAACAGGAATTGAGCAATGTTTAGGAAGACACAAACTGGTTTTTGGACTATGGAGTTTATGGGGTTTTGTCCCCGTGCTGTGAGGACGAACTCCCTGCAGAGAGCACCGCTTCCACCGCTGCTCCCAAAACAGAAGTATGTTAATTGCACTGCTGGTTTTCACTTGCGCTGTTTTACATGAGCAAATTCTAAATAAGTATCAGATACAGAACAATCTGAGATTTTCAGTTGGAGCCCTAACAAACAAACAAACAAACAAACCCAACAAGCCATTGTCACAGTCACTGAATATGGATCAGACGATACAACAAAATGCAGAATGGATGTACAGATGATTTTTTGTTACATTACTCTAAGTTGATAATGTTTTTATAACTTTCTAATAATGAAAAGATGGTTGAAATTTGTGGTTTGTGCTAACTTCAAATATTTAAGTACTCATACATTTTCCTATATATGAGACTAATAATAAAGGTTACCTAACTTTCACTATCTGATATTCCTTTTACAGCTCTTGCTTCTATATTCATTAGTAAGATTCTTCTCCTGAAGTTTGCAGATGCACCTGAAAATACAAAACCTGAACGTTCAAATAACAAAATGCAGATGATATTCTTATATTTATGGTCTGGAAGGTTTACTAAAATCAGTTTCCTGAACTGAGCGGCCCTGACAGTTTCAACTAGTACTAAGTTTTAAGCAATACAAAAGTTGGAGTTAAAAACAAAAAAAAACCAAAAAAAACAACATCTAATTGAGGTTATGGGATGACTGAACTGCACAGTAGAACATTTTTGCAAGCAGGGGAAAAGTAGCAAGAACAGGATGAGAGATTTCCCTGTCCCCCAAGACTACAAAAGGATGTATAGTACCCTTAATTGACCCAAACAGCCCTCCGGTCATTGAAAAGCCAAAGCATTTTCATCATTTCAGCACAAGCCTGCTTTGATTGCAGCACAATAGAACATAATCTGGCAATTCAGTTAGAATATTATCTGATTAAAAGTGCAAATATTAAATTTCCTCTGTGTATTTTTCTTTTACACTAGCAACTTACTGTGCTGTTAAAAGGCCTATTGTACAACCGCTGATTAATTGTATCAGTTTTTAAAGATTAATTGCTAAGGAGGTTGCAGTGGGTTAAATGCCTCCAGTTCCTTGTTTTCTAGCAGAAACAAAGAGCACCCCTTAGATTTTTTTTTTCCTTTTTTCTTTGTCTTTTTTT